GTATAATAATAAATAATAATAATATAATAATAATAATAATAATAATAATAATAAATAATAAAATAAATTAATAGTATAAAGATAGAAAATAATGAAGAAATAATAATGAGACGCAGAGGAGAAGCAGTAGGAAAGGTTAAGAAAGAGAATGAGAGAGAGAGAAAAAAAATTAAGACTGAGGTTTTGCTTCTAAAATATGATGAGAGAGAGAGAGAGAAGAGAGACGAGAGACGAGAGAGAGAGAGAGAGAAGAGAGAGATGAGAGAGAGAGAGAGAGAGAGAGAGAAGAGAGAGAGAGAGAGAGAAGAAAGAGAGAGAGAGAAGAGAGAGAGGAAAGAGAAGAAGAAGAGAGAGAGAAAGAGAAGAGAGAGAGAAGAGAGAGAGAGAGAGAGAGAGAGAGAGAGAGAGAGAGAGAGAGAGAGAGAGAGAGAGAGAGAGAGAGAGAGAGAGAGACTTCCTTAAAATAGAAGATTTAAGAAGCTCCCAAACTACCGTTGCAAATCAATCTTATTAAATCTCCAAACTTTAGCCATTCCAAGTACACTTTATACTTTAGGTCAAACGTTTGGAATTTTCCCGAAGGATTTAAGTGCACCCGAGAACGTTGCGCAGTTGCCATAACGGGATTAACGTTTATCTAATGCACTGTCGTCTGCTCTGGACACTGAGCGCTGACGTGTCTTTAGAAAATGATTCTATTCATATTTAACCGTCTATTAAATCCACACTACTTACATATGGAATAATCTATTGTAAAAGGATTCATTGATGCATTTGTATGTATTTATCTATTTGTTTCCTTACTTTTACCAATTTGTCTATTTCCTTTTTATCTATTTATCTATTTCCCGGATCATATAATTCCTTTCATCTCTCTAGCTATTAATTGATTTTATCTAATCTATATGCTAATCCATCCCAACTAATTCACCAATTTCCGTTTCTAATTATCTATATACATACATATTCTCTTCTTCCTATTCATACATATTCATTCCTGTATTTCTCCGCATTCATCCATCCATCAGTTTTATTACTTTACCTTTGTCTCTATCTCCCAATCCTTCCATATTGAGAAAAAAAGGTTGCAAAAAAGGCTACAAAATCGTCGTTATTTCTCAAGCTATTTTGGGCTCGGCTTTAGCGAAGAAGTCAGCACAGTCACCGATGCTTTAAGCCTTTGAGTGGAAAGGAAAAACTTTTTCGCGTCTTGCATTTTGGAAAAGAAGAAATCTGGGAGAATTACTTTAATCCCTTGGCAGCACTAATCTTTGAACGCCCATGAAATGCGACTGAAACTATTTAGTTATATTTACACAAGAAAAATTCACAAAATATCAAATATGATTTATGAAAGACTGGAACTGTATTTCTGCTGTAAACACCGCCTTGAAAATACTACTAATACAACTGCTAATTACAATATACAATAACAATAAAGACAATAATGATAATACATATAAAAAAAAAAAAAAAAAATAAAATATATAATATATATATATATATAATATTATATATATATAATATATAATATCTATAATCGTCTTTCCCTCTCTGTGATTGCAACGAACTTTCAACTTGATTTTTTCTCTCTCTCTCGCTCTTGTCTAGCTTCTCAAAAAACTCGAGACCAAATTTTAATTGGGAGTTATATATCCAATCTGAATTACACAGGAAAGGCGAGATACGGAACCCCCCCCCCCCCCCCAATCCCCCACCCCACAACGCCCTCCCAGAAAGAAATAAAAGAGAGGGGGAGAGAGAGAGAAAAAAGACACGAGAGAGAAAAAAGTAGCGAGAAAGAAATAAAGAACGAAAAAAAAAAAAAAAAAAAAATTACACGTTCAATCGCATCGAAAATCGACATCAAACTACGCTGCGAATAAAGTTTTCGCTGCTACAAAACGCCATCACTGTTGAGATTTGCAGCCGCGCGACCGTAGGCGCAAAATCTTCCGGCTGAGGAGACTGAACGCGAATTAGAGAGAGAAAATGGGAACGAAATGAGAAATGAGAGAAAGCGAATCAAGAGTACAGCGAAACACAGCACACACACACACAGTGTCACACACCACACACACACAACACACAACACACACACACACACACAAACACACACACACACACACACACACACACACACACAAACACACACACACACAAGACACCCACACACACACAATGCTTTAACATCTTGTGACCTCCGTATTCTTTTCCATTTTTGCATCTAATCTAATTCAAACTGCAAACGCCCGCAAAATAATTGCAATGAATCATAAAGTCCAATAAAAGTGTATAGAACCTGACGCTAAAAAAATAAAGAAAAAAAACATACAGACAACTAAGGAAGATTCAATCGGTCAATTTTTGCAACGAAATAACACGGAATGGCCGATGGAATGCTGTGGAATGCAACAGAGAACGTAAATAATTATCTATATACTCCTTTATGCTGTGAGGAATCGCGTGAAATATATATCACTCGATGGAAATTCTTGAGGGACTGCGGAACGAAGGAAGCGAGAAGGAAAACGAGAAGAAACGTGAGAGAGCAGACAGGGGGGGGGAGGAAGAGAAGAATGAGGAGGAAGGAAGAAGAAGATGAGAAGCAAGAAAGAAGAAGAAGAGGGAGGGGAAAGAGGGAGGGGGAGGAGGAAGGAGGGAGATGGAGAGGAGGAAGAAGGAGGAGGGGGAGGAGATGGAGAATGGGAAGAAGAGAAAAGAGAAGAGAACTAGAAGGAAAAGGATGATGAGGAGAAAACAAGAAAACAAAATGATAATGACACCGACAAAGATGATGATTTTGAAAAAAAAAAAAAAAAAAAAAAAATCCCAAAGAGGAATCCTCCTTCGCCGCTGCTTTGTTCTCCCTCCTGTTCATCCGCTTTGGAGTGTTCTTGTTCTTGTTCTTGTTCTCCCTGTTCTTAGCTTCGCGTATCACTGACATCTCTACCGATGCAAAGCCATTCATTTCTCTTGCCTACTTATCTGCTTTGCTTTTGTTTTCGACTTGTTTATTCCTTTTCTTCCGTTATCGCTCGTCTCATTTATCCTCCGTCCCTTTATCTGTACGTTTATTGGATGATTTCTCTTCTCCCATATTTCCTTGCAATCTCTTACAGATACGTTTATATACAAACTTTCTTTCTTGTTTGATTCATACGCAAAGATACTGGTGCATTTTCTCGATCTTTCTTTCGTCATAAAACCGCATCGGATAATGGATATTTCCATAAGCAAATAAATGAAGAGAGAGGGAGGGAGGGAGGAGGGAGGAAGGGAGAGAGAGAGAGGGAGAGAGGGAGAGAGGAGAGAGAGGCGGGAGGGAGGGGGAGGGAGGGAGGGAGGAGAGAGAGAGAGAGAGAGAGAGAGAGAGAGAGAGAGAGAGAGAGAGAGAGAGAGAGAGAGAGAGAGAGAGAGAGAGAGAGAGAGAGAGAGAGAGAGAGAGAGAGAGAGAGAGAGAGAGAGAGAGAGAGAGAGAGAGAGAGAGAGAGAGAGAGAGAGAGAGAGAGAGAGAGAGAGAGAGAGAGAGAGAGAGAGAGAGAGAGAGAGAGAGAGAGAGGAGAGAGAGAGAGAGAGAGAAGAGAGAGAGAGAGAGAGAGAAGAGAGAGAGAGAGAGAGAGAGAGAGGAGAGAGAAGAGAGAGAGAGAGAGAGAGAGAGAGAAGAGAGAAGATTGAAAATTAAAGAGTAAACGAGAAAGAAAGAGAAAAAGAGGAAGAGAGAGAAAAGCGAAAGAAAGAGAAAAAGAAAGAGAAAAGCGAAAGAGAAAAAGAAAAAGAAAGAGAAAAAGAGCAAGAGAGAGCAGAAGCAGCAGCAGCGGCAACATTCACGCCCCATATTCACATTTCCATTCCTTAAAAGACCGCGCCGACATACGCTCATTTCGCTAAAATGTCGCCGTCGCTGCTTCCTCTTTGAGAGAAATTGATTTTGGCGCCCACGTGATGCTGCCATCTTGCGGGCTTCTCCGAGATGACGACGCCGCTGTTTCAACATTATGCTTCAACATTTTGCTTTTTTCTTTCGACAAATTAATTTCGAGATGCATGTGGATGTGCTGCGTTGGGTGGAGAGCGCGTCGACGCCTAGTTCTTGAAAATACATTGTAAAGGATTTTTTTTTCTATTTTTCAGTCGCTTGGGCATCTTGATGAAAGCTTACTGAAACAGTTCGGTTTCTCAAAAAAAAAAAAAAACTCGGCCATAAAACAATAACAATTACTTCGCTGCATTTCGGTGAAGCAATAACAAAGCCTCTAAATTCGCAGGCAGACACGAATTGACAGGCGAACCTCTCTCTGTCCGCCACAAAAAAAGGAAAAAGAAAAACGAACGGTAACAGATGTGTGAGCGACCCCGAACTTCGCCCTTCCTGGCGGCCGGAGCACGCCCTCCGACCCAAGAAGGGGACCTCGAGCGGCAGACGCCCAGCCCGGCCCCTCCTCCTTCAGGCCCGGGGGCAGGAGGCGTCGGCGGCGACAACCGAGATACAAAGATCCACGAAAAACATCAGGGATTTCGTCCGGGACTCCGAGGGGCGCGGGCAGCGGGACCGGGCGCCTGGGACTCGGCCTCCCCGGCGGCGGACCCTCATGAGCCCGCGATAACTTAGCTTTATTGGCCCTTTCCTTCCCTGATAAGAAAACAACGCGCGGTTTATAAGCGCCGTTCGTCATGGCGCGCGCATGCCCACGACTGCGTGCGCGTGCGTGCGGGAAAACGCTCCTTTCCCTTTCTCAAGACGCGAGCTGGAAGAAAGGGGGTTAGCCCAAGAGCACATCATTTCATCTACGATAATGTTGACCCAAGAGAAAATAAAATTCAATAAAAGAGTAACCCCGAATCCCCGCACCAAATTCGGCAAATCTCTCTTCAAATTAAAAAAAACGAGAAAGAGGGAAAAAAATTTTTTTTTTCCCTCTCTCCCAGTTAATTACTACCCTCCCTCCCTCCCTCCCTCCCATCTCCCCCTCCCCCATAGCAGGAGCGAGCGGCCTGACCTGTGGTGCACTCGCAGTGGGAGTCGAGGAAGGTGAGCACGGGCGCCGTGGCGTGGGCGGCCCCCATCAGCCTCGCCCGGATGAGCCCCTCGCGCTTCGGAGCCCGGATGATGCGCACCTTCGGGTACTGCGCCATGTAGTCCTCCAGCTGCTTCATGAGGTGGGCTGTGAGGGAGAGAGGAGGGGGGTCAGTGGAGGGCTGTGAGGGAGAATGAAGGAGGTCAATGTCACTGAGGGTGTGAGGAGAGAGAAGGAAAGGTCAGTGTGAGGGCTGTGAGGGAGAGGGGAGGGGGGTCAGTGTGAGGGCTGCAAGGGGCTGATTGATTAATTATTTTTAAATTTTCTGCCGCGTCGACATGTAGCGCGGAGGAGACTGAAGGAGATAAGGCTTGCGAGCAGTTGCTGGCCAAGGAACAGATTTTAGTTCTTCAGACGAAAGGATGCATCTTAGTATCAAATTACCACAAGAATTACATACTGAATATATATTTATTTATATATATGTGTTATAAAACTATACTAAATATATATGATACATAATATACTGTATAAGATATACATTATATAATATACCAGATTCAGTATATAATTAATGATATATAAAATACATGTAACATTATATACTATCAAAGAAATATAAGTAACATGCACTATACAGTATAAAATATTATAAAGAACGTAACATATAAAAATATAAACATGAATAAGTAAAGAATTATATACATACATACATACAATATATATATATATATATATATATATATATATATATATATATATATATATATATTACAACACACCCAGACGCTCGCTTTTCCCCTTGCATCTCAATCCAGTCAATTCACACGCAAAAAAAAAAAAAAAAAAAAAAAAAAAAAACTCGACCCCAACGGCAGTCCAGTCAGCGCGCAGTTAACTCAGCGCCTGAAATGTCGAGGTCAGGACTTTTTGGAAATTGTCGACACACATATTTTACGAGAAATGAGCACGGGCGGTTTTCGGCGGTCTCCCTCCCCCTTTCCCTCTCCCTATCCTTCCCGTCTCCTCCTTCCCTTCCCCTACCTCCCTTCCCCTCTCCTCTCCCCTTCCCCTTACCCCTACCCTTCCCTTCTCCTTCCTTACCCTCCCATCCCCCTCTCCCCTTTCCCCCTTCCCTATCCTTCTCCCATCCCCTTACCCCTTCCCCCCTCACCCCTCTCCCTCTCTCCCTCTCTCCCCCGTGGCCTCCTTGGCCCGGAAGATTAGTCTGCGACCGCGATGATAGATGGCGCGCATCAGGCGGGAGGACTCCGCCTGGACGCCACTGCGGACACGTGTCGCAGGGGGAACCAGACGGGGGGGGTCGTTACAAGGGCCATCTTAATCCATTTTTTTTCTCTCTTTATCTATCCACGTTTGAGAAAATACCGAATAGGGGGCAAATGTATATCTATGAAGCACGCCTTAATCTTTTTTTTTCTTTCTCTTTATCTATCCACGTTTGAGAAACAGCGAATAGGGGGCAAAAAAATATGATTATGAAGCACAAATTAATCTATTTTTTTCTTTCGCTTTATCTATCCAGAAATACCGAATAGGGGGACAAATGTATAATTATGAAGCACGCCTTAATCTATTTTTTTTCTTTCGTTTTTATCTATCCACGTTTGAGAAAACACCGAATAGGGGGACAAATATATAATTATGAAGCACGCCTTAATCTATTCTTTTTTCCTTCTCTTTATCTATCCACGTAAGAGAAAACATTGAAAAGGTGAACAAATAAATAATCATGAAGCACAAACATGCAAGAATGCTTTTACCTTCTATTTTCTTCACTCAACTATCTACTCCCTGATCCAAACCATTATGAAATCAACCCCCCCCCCCAAATACCAGTCCCATCAGAGCTTAAAATCTGGAGCGAAAATCGGGGAAATCGGAGGCCGAGCGGCAGGCGGCGCCCACCGAGAGCCGGGGCAAACTTGGAGGGAAAGTCTTTTTCATGGCGACCCCAGCGGCGGAGGTCATTAGGTCGCCCTCGCCGGCTCCTGATTACTCTTTTATACTTCCAAGGGCCCGCCGCGCTTCTTAAACTTTCCGCTGAAGTTATTTTTGTCTTTTTTAAAGGGACGATGGCCCCCACATAACTCATCGAGAGCTGTCTCGAAAGGGTCGCCCTCGGATCCTCGAGAAGCTGTCTCGAAAGGGTCACCCTCGGCAACCTTCTCATCCTCGAGAAGCTTCTCGAAGGGTCACCCTCGGCAACCTTCTCATCTCGAGAAGCTGTCTCGAAGGGTCGCCCTCGGCAACCTTCCCTCGCGAACTCATCCTGAGCTCGAAGACACCGCTCTCCAGCACCTCACCTACTAGAATTACCCTTGAAACCTCATCCCCGAGCTCCTCACCCCTCTAAAAAAAAAAAAACTCGTCCTCGAGCACTTCCCCTCGGAGACCTCCCCCTCGAGGAAGGCAAGGCGCGATACCCGGGGTGTTGTCTGGCGTTGACAAGCGACCTCGATATTGAAAGCGGACGGGTATGGCCTGCTGGGGGCCCCGGGGGAACGGTACTCAGCATCGGATTCTGTTCGCTCGCTACTGGCTTTGCAAAAAGGAAAAAAAAAAAGAAAAAGAAAAAACGAAGGAAAAAGAAAGACATAAAAACGAGAGCCACCTTGCAAGGGGG